AAATGATGATATACTAGTGATACTAGTGATAAAAATATAAGTGCGATGCTTTGTATAAGTGTAACAGTCTTCCATATATTGTATTTGCAAAACACCATTGATGTGTTATTGATAAAAGCTAAAAGTGATCAGTCCAAACGCATGTTATTCAAACGCAAGCTGTTCGAATAAATGCGTGTGTGCGTGTGTTCCCCTCTGGTTTTTTAATGTATTAATTTGCTCAACCGGAGATACTTCCCCACAGTTAGCACAGATGCCAAAGTCGTGGTGTGAACGTAAGACGACTGTTCCACCTGCCTTTCACTCGGGTGCGTTGTTCACCGATACGCGTGTCCTGTTTAAGTCACCTACCAGATCTTGTCGCAAATCCCGAAGAGCAGTAGGAAGCCATTATAAGTCACGTCACGTGGTACAGTAGCCATGTGACGTGAGCAGCAAATCAGAGACGGCATGGCTGTAGACGGATATCCATCCATCAATTTTGTTGCATGTAAAAACAAAATATGTTTTTAATTAAAATTCTAAATACAATGGGATGTTAGATCACACTGCATTCATCAATATTTCTTCAAAGTAAAAACGTTTTGAAATGGAAAATGAAAAAAAAATCATTGTACTTATAATTAAGTCACATAATTCTTCAGCCACGATTAAAAAAATAAGTGTGAAAACAATATAATAGTCGTAGGGTGATTATTATTTTGTGATTTGGAACAGTAGCCAAAACATTTCTGTTATCGGTCATGAATTTCAGTTGTGTTATAAACGCAAGGCAGCTTTATGTACATAGCACATTTCATACACAATGCAACTCAGTGCGCTTAACACAAGCAGACACAACACTTAAAAACATTTATATATAAAACATAACAGAGAAAACAAAAGTGCTTTACCAAAATTACAAAAAAAAACATATAATGGCAATATTTAAATGAACAGAATTATTTTTTTAAAATCGGGAACATTTTAAAAGTAAAGTAAATAAAAACAGGTTTCTGAAATTACTACAAGAAAAAAAAGGTGATTTGAAAGATCTTAATCAAAGTTATGGGAAAAAGCAAAGTTTTTTAACCTGTATTGCTTTGCACTTCCTGGCCACTAAAGCAGGTGAATATTTGGCAAGAAAGATTATCCATCCATCGATTTTCTATACTACACGACACAACTCTTTTAAAATACAGTACAGCATTCGGCTTTTCACGCGTTGGAAAATGAAATAGAAACTAACAACACTCTTATACTATAAGTAGGAACTTTGTTTTTTTGCAACACAATACTGTAAAACTTTTGACTTACTCTCTACACCTGCTGTTATTACAAGCCAAAACATTCTCCCTTCAACAACAGAAAACACAGTTAGCCACCTCGGTGTACAAAAAACACAAAGTCATCAATTTAGTCACATTTTCAGGTTCACATTTTGATAGAATTAACATAACTTCGAGATGAGTTTGCCAAAGAAAGCTCCCTCGTCTACTGACACTGGAAACTCCAATGTGTTTTTACCTTAAATGACTCCAGATTGGGCCAACGGTAATCCCAAGAGCAGAGTTGGGAGGAGAACAATACAAAAAAAAAAAAAAAGATACACAGATTCAATCGGTTGTTCTTCGTTGTTCCGTGTGTTCTGTTCATGTTTGTGAGAAAAGCAACACGCCCGTCAATGACACTGATTCGGTTTGATAAGTGATAAAGTGAATCGTTTGCATTTTTGTGTTAGCGCTTCACTCTGTTGAGCTGGCTGCACCCTTGGACGCAGTGTTACTCACACGTCATTTTAGGACATGTAAAGGTCTGTCGATTTTTCCTAAAAGGTTGCAAAGAGAATTCCATTGCTATTGTGTTGGACATCCTTATAAAGAACATCGTGTAGCTTTCACAGTGGCATAACTCAACGGTGTGACGATTTAACATTTATTTGATTTCATAATCATCACGATCCTCTGATATAAATCCTAACTACAATGTGACCCGCGATAAAAAATGAGTTTGACACCTATTGTGAGGAAAGTTGTCAGGATAGTCGGAAAAAAATTGCAAATCATCTGTCTAGCAACAAATGTGCTAAACGGCATCATCAGCGGGACCAGCTCAAAAGGTCGCATCAACGTTTCATTTTGATGAGTAAAATAGTTGACATTTTTAGTTGTACTGCTTGACTTTGGCACTTTGTTTGACTGTCTGCACCCATTGGCGCCCCCTGCCTCCTCCGCCTCCTCCTCCTCCTCCGTCTCTCTCTTGCTCCCTCACTCTTTCTCCCCCCCCCCCCAGCCCCCCGCACACTATCCGTGACGTCAAACCAGCATGGCGGTCAAGGTGACTTCGGCATCGTTTCCTTTGCAATTTGCAACCCCTACTTCCGTCATTTCTCTTGGTGTTTTGCTCGTTTTCGTGTGTAGGAACAGTCGAAGCGAGTGTGTGCCAGACGAGCGGGCGTCGTGCTCGGAGCTGCCTTGTAGCATCACCGGGCTAGCTGACGCCCGGCGGCCGGTCGGCGGCTGCTGGCCTTGATGACACTTCCCAACAGGCTGGAGGGAGGATAGCTCCGTAATGCTAACCAGCTGTCAGTCTTACTTTCTTCCTGACAAAAACGCTAAGCGGGACGTCTTTTTATTTTTCTCCCTCTTTCTCTCTTTTTTTAATCCATTAGCCGACTTGCTTTTTCTTTCCCGAGTCACTGTAACGGTTCGCGTCCTTTTCGTGCTAGCTGTTAGCTTGTCGATACCAGGGCTGGTTCGAGGTTCGACCTGTGAGCAACCGCCAGCCCGGTTCTGTTGGGTAGTATCAGAGTTAGTTCGGTTCATTGCAAGCTAAAATGTACACGTGCGTCTTTGTGCTGGCCTTCCACACCAACATAAGCTATAATTAAAATATTTGTTAGGGGGAAGGGATGTGCAAACAGCCTTAAATTCCCTATCACCCTTGTATAATTTTTGTTGGATTTTTCTATATATATATTTTTTTATTTTTAGGTGCAATCAACCAAACGCGGGGATCCAAGTGAGCTCAAAGCAATCTTCCAGAAGGTGAGTATTGCACTTTTAAAATATGTTTTGATTTAATTTTTGTGAGCGTGATTGAATCAAGGTGCAGTAGCTCACCAGTGTGTAGCTTAATTTGTCAAAAAATACTTAATAGTTGAAAATACACTTCTGTTCATCTCAGCGATGTATAGTGAGAGGCAGAACAATTAAATGCATAACTTGGTGCAAGTATGTGTTTAGTTGAACAGGCCCAGATTTCACACTGAGTAACTAAATTTAGAAGAGACCATCATTATTCATTCCTACTTTTTGTGACATTTTTGTTTGGTGCCCTGGTGTGGGATTTTTCCAATACCTTGGCTTAAAAAAAAAAAAAGATTAGCAAAGACTGGCTCAGACTGTGCATGAGAAGAAAGAGTGAGCCCAGTCTGATTTTGCTTAGTAAGTGAGCTGAGGAGTTTGTGTCACAGGTTTTAAATTACACTGTTTGCCAACGCTAAATGGCCGTAAAAGGCAGCTGTTTTGCTTCATGTACGAAGTAGAAAATGAAACTCAAACTCTAAATGACAAGTGATTGAAACCAAATATGCTGACATTTAAAGTTGAATCTCTTGAGTGACTTGTCAAGGCTCAAAACACATGCGTTAGGGGTGCGTGTCAGCTTGTTTGGCAGTGTTGTTTTCCTTCAGCGTGAGGCTTAATAAAGGGGCAAGCATTGTTGTCAGCTGAGAGCACACGCAAACAAGTGCTTAAGGAGCCTTTTACCAGCCGGGCCATTCCACTGATCACATTTCGTATTAAAAAAAAAATACTTGTGCAGTCCATAAGCCACCTTGGCTTATTACAGTAACAGTTAACCTTCACAATGTTCTCGGCATGGCCAATGTGTGACTGACCATGTGACCCTTGCATGACAAGCCCTTGTTGGTACTTGCGAGGACATGCACGGGGTTGAATAGCACACGAGCTCAAGCCAAAAAGATACATCCACTCGCTCAGTCGGGTCAGTCTGACATGTCCGAATTTGTTGAGGTGCCGCCCACAACAGATATATGACACCTGGGAATATGTTAATTTGTTGTGAGACATCATGGCCAGCCTCTAGGATGATGTGTGTCGGACAGTGACGTAACTTTGAATACATCAGGACCAGCCAGCCTGGCTGCTGGCCAGAATACTGTAGTTTTGCTTCTTCTAATTTATGGTTTACCATCAAACTAAACACAACTTTGCCTTCAAATCCACGTACTTAATGCTAGCCCGTCAGAGAAAAGGATATAGTCGATATAGTGTTTTCAGGACATTGGCGATATAGTGTTTTAAGTCCTGAGCCTGCTCACAGAACCAATTATACTTGTGTCTACCATCACATGTACCGCACTGAATTTAGAAGGGAGTCTAATCGTTGAAATTATGTAAGTTGTTTTTTTTTTTGGGGGGGTGGGGAATCACTGAAAAATGTATTATGAATAATTGACAGAATTGTCCGATCACCATCCTTTGACTTTTTTTCCCCCCTCAACCGTTTCAGTTGGCTCTTTCCCCTGTAGCTTTTCCAAACAAAGGTGGTCCTTGAAGGTGTTCTAACTGAAATGCTGCGGATTAGCAAGACTGTTGATGAGGCGTAGAAAAAAAAGTAGTGTGTTTCCGGTATCCCGACTGACCGAGAATTTCTACCTCGAAAAAAAACTTTACGGTCGGCATTTTTTTCAAACAACCTTCAAATTTAACACACGTCATCATTAGTTCTACCAACAGTTAACATTAGCATTACTACGCCTTGTGACGAATGTTTTATTCATAAAGGTACCATGCTACAACCAGTAAATTATAGAATTACCAATACTGTTTCATAATATTTTTCATAGCGATTAGCCTACAAATCTAATGACCAACTTGCCTCGTAATCGTGCCTCTCGTCGGATCTCGCTCTCATGTTCTGTGCATACATCCCAGGTGAGATGAGTGATACGCCCTTTGGACGATTCATACGAAAAATCAGACTGGCATTCCCATTTCTTAAATGTCGTAATTAGTAGACCTTTGTGAGTTTTTTTCGCCGCCATCTCAAACTTTCATCCGCGCGATTCCTCAGTTTGCGGACTTAAATAGCAACCCGCATGCGCACATAACGTTATCTGTTGCGTCCCCCCCAACACTGAAAACAAAACAAAATGAAAGTAAATTAGAAGAAACACACCACACCACAAACACACATAGAGGCACAGTGAAATCACGTTGATCACACAGTCAAGTTGTGTGCGGTGACTTTAATGGTTAAACTATTTTTCGGTACCGTTCAAATGACGCCACGGAAACGACACGCTACCGGTAACTATTGTTACCGTGAAATCCTCAGGCTTGCCGTAGTTTTTTTTTGTTTGTTTGTTTTGACTGAGAAATTTCCTTGCGTCCCAAAAACGCACATTATTTGGAACTGTGTGTCACGTGGGAAAATTATGCTTCTAGGACGCGGGACGCAGAGGTAACGAGATGGCTGTAACACCCAGCCGCCGGGTACCCAACTCTCGCCGCAAGCAGGGGTTTCAGTGTCTCTTTGTTTTATGTTTTATGTTTTATGGTTATTTTGTTTAAATTTTTTGATGGGGGGGGGGGGAGATTAAAAAAAAAACTTTGTACCTACCGACCCTATGCTGAAATTTCATGTTACCGGAAACACACTACTTTTATTTCTACGCCCGATGTAAAGTGATGCTCATGCGACGCATGAATGTGATTATTTAATAGTGCACGCGTCACACACACAAAGCAGCGTGAAGCGTTATGTGGTCTGTGAAGCTGAAGTCCCCAAGTCACAATGGCCGACTTCAACATAAATCTTCTCGTATGTCTTTTTGTACCGTCAGTATGCCAGCGAAGTGGACAAGGATGGAGACAGGTTCATGACCCCTGGAGACTTTGTCCAGAAGTACCTGGGACTGCAAACACAGCTCCATCACAACCCCAAAACTGTACAACTGCTGGCTGCTGTGGCCGACACCACCAAGGACGGGTTTGTGCCACGAACCCCCAAAACATTACTCAGTACTAATTGTTAAACGGTGGCTGATAAAGCACTTGCTACTGTTACCTCATAAAGATAAAATCGACAACTTGTGCACAAATGACACACAGACAATACACACGCATGTCTTTTATGTAATTTGAATGTTAGCATTATAATACAGGAATAGAGCAGAAGCACACGTAACGTTTCATTCAAAAGTATTGCATAAAATTGTTTCAAAAACTTTTCTTGAATATTAAATGTGAACGTATTGCACTGCATTTAAAAGTTAAACACAACTAATGTGTACTTCAAAATGTACTATACTACAAAAAAAAGTCCTGTACTGGATTTCAAAACAAAAAATGTAAACAGGCAGTACGTCTAGCGACAAGCGTCCTTCTGATCTCATAAATTGCATTACAAGTTGGAAATCTTTATTTGTATTAAATGGATATTTTTGTGTACCACCAGAAAGAGCCCGCATACCACTAGTTGTACTCCTAGCGAGAGCACTTTGAGAACTACTACTTTGAGACATTTATTTGATCCGTTATGACCTCAATTACTTCTTTAAGATTGAATCAATAAATGTTTTTGTTGTCTGACTGCTTGGACAGGCTCATCTCTTTCCAGGAGTTTCTTGCTTTTGAGTCCGTCTTGTGTGCACCTGACGCTCTCTTCATAGTTGCCTTCCAGCTCTTTGACAAGACTGGAACTGGAGACATTTCCTTTGGTACGTACGTGCCATTGTCTCGTCTTTTGTTTGTTGACCGCCTTCGGGCTCGAGTCATGTGACCAGTTGAGCCGTAAACCCACACAGCATTGCTTGCCGTTGGTCCGGTTCCCAACTTGATGCCCTCTGTGTTTGCGTGCCTCATCGTCAGTGCACCTTCTGTGTGTGTTTGTGTAGTCCCCGGCAGATATGGACTTTTCCTACCGTGACTCTTTGAACCCGATAATTGCTCTTTCTAGCTCCCTCCAGCATGTATGAACTGACTGTTTCCCTCTTTGTCTGAGAAAACACAAGTCTTTGCGCTACTCTGAGTTTGAAGTCCTATCTTTTTAAATATGTGTAATTTTGCCACAGAAAATGTACGGGACATTTTCAGCCAGACCACCGTGCACCACCACATTCCCTTCAACTGGGACTGTGAGTTCATCCATTTGCACTTTGGCCACGACCGCAAGAAACGTCTCAACTACCTCGAATTCACCCAATTCCTGCAGGTATTTTGACCCAAGAAACATCTCGGCGTTTGCTTTTCACTTCCTTGTCGCACCGCAACGGGACACTAAATTGCGTCCTGTGTTTTAGCGCAGCTTCACAGTGTAATTCTCTTGCAGGAGCTGCAGTTGGAGCATGCTCGGCAGGCCTTTGCCCAGAAGGACAAAGGGAAGAATGGAGTCATCTCCGCCTTGGACTTCTCTGACATTATGGCCACCATCAGGCACCACATGCTCACACCCTTTGTGGAGGAGAACCTCGTCTCGGTGAGTTAGTTTGTGACAGTCTTTTTTTTTTTTTTTTCCACCAGGTGATGTTAATCCCATGAACATGAACAGCTCACTTTTGGCCAGGTTTGTGCATTTGTTTCTTTTGAACCTCTGCCTTGGGTGGTCTCTCACAGGGCGGTGAATGCTTGCGAAGATAGGGAATATTAGGTTGGTCAACCTTTTTTTTTTTTGTTTGTTTGTTTTTTTGTTTTTGTTAAATGTTGACACAAATCAGGAGGTCGCCTCTTTCATTCGCCACATTTAGCCTCTTTTAGCGATGCTTCGAGACAACGCTGTGTTTGTGAAAGTTAGAGGGCAACTATTTGCTGCTATTTGGGATAGTCGTTGCGAAGATGGGCAACTATTTGCCACTCTTTTTGCCTCTTGGGACTGTTTGCCAACTCCTGGAGTAGCAGGCGAATCGATGAATGAAGGTGTGTGAACCTTCCCCAAGTTTCTGCTGTAACTCATTAAAAATAAATAAATAACTCAATTATTACAGGTCGGTGCAGACATTCGTTTGAATATTTTCGTAGTGTGGCTTCAGTTAATCGCCTGAAACTTTTGTTGGGGAAATCAGATGCCATTGATATATCCACTATTAATGTTTATTCACACTGCCTCGTCGAATGAAGGGAAAGGAATTTTCAGTGCCGTGTTGCTTTAAGAAGTGCCATTATTTCATGAAATATGAAAAGGTGACATGTTAAAGCCACAGATTTGTTGACATTATTGTTGTCATCTGACTTAGTGACTTTTTTTTTTAGAGCACACTTGTTTGGTAGAATTTTGTGAAGTTGGTGCAGCGAATGCTTAATGTGAGACGAATAAAGGTTTTCTCAAGTAAAATGACTGCACGTCAAAGTGTTGAGCAAGTTAACAACAACAACAAGCTATCTTTCTGATAGAGTAGACAAACTCAAAGTTATCATGTTTAAAAGTTTCATTTTGTTGTATGCTTGATTGACCTTGAAAGCATGTGTTGAGAGCACACAGAAAAAAGGGCCAACTTGAGCTGAATGAAACTGAGGCCTTGTTAACTGATAGTACAAACAGGAAGGTTCAACTTTGGGTGGGCAGCACGATAAGATGTCCTTGAGTTTGTGCAGTGTCTCAATTCATGCGAAATATACCCATTGAATTAACAAGGTATCCATTGTTTGTACCGAGAGATGTTTTGGCCTCTGAGGGGCGCATCGGTGCCGGCAGAGGCTGCAGAGGTCAGGTGTCAGTTGAGAAGCGCGCCTGAGTGGCTTCGTAGAAAACTGCGCCTCCTGCTGGCAGAAAAGACAATCCCTTCCTGAGTCTGACTGTTCAACTGTCCGAGCGAGCATCTCTGACACTTTCATATTAAATTGATAGTTCATTTGCCTTAATGTTAGTGGAAAGCTAATCCTGTCTAATAAATCTGGTTTATTGTAATGCAGATTAATGTATTGGTTGTGTTTTTTATTAAATGCAAAGGAAGAGGGCCTTGAAAAATGAAGCGCATATTAAATCACAATTGTGATATTAAGGCGGGGGGGAGTGCAATTCGATTCTTTTTCAAAGTTATTCAGCCCTAATGCGTGGTGGTCAGATTTCACCCAACAACAAAAATCATATGACCCAATCCTCAACTCATGTACTAATTTACCTGCAGTCTTGCAACATCAGAGAAGCTTCTGCTTAGAATTTTTTTTTCCAGAGCAAGTACTGTCTGTCTTTTTTAGGTAGTCATCAGTGTTGTTTGCGCCCCTGCTTTTTTGCAGATTTATTTTTTATAGAGTGAATCAGTTTATCGAAGACATCATTTCCGTGGAAATTTGTGGCTTGTAACCATCATTTTTAAACGGATTTTTACAGGATACTTTCTTGGAAAAGAGAGCCACAGTTGGTGGTGCACTTTCCAGCTATTTATTCAACGGAAGACCTACGAAACACTTATTAAAAACAATGACGAGACTCATGCAGGAGCTGTTGTCAGCGGCAGCTCACGCCTGGACACTCACATGCAAACTCGCCATCATCACTCAAGATCCGCCCCTTGTGGCTCTGCACTTAGGCACATAAACGAACACATGGCCACTACCAGACATGAAGTTGTGGATTTTTCCATTTTCATGCTTGCAATTTTCTTGCATTCAAATGCATAAAGAACGGCTGCTTGAATCATTTTGTTTGACGTACAACTGGATTTTGGTGGGTCTTGAGCATATGCGCCGCGATGAACTGGTCTCCTCTCAATAGTAGTACAAAATACTCGAGACATGAGATTGAGCTGTAATGAAATGGTGCTTTTTTTTTCTTTTTTTTTTTTTTTGGTGGCTTTCTCTTCTCAGGCAGCTGGAGGCAGCACCTCGCACCTGGTTAGCTTCTCTTACTTCAACGCCTTCAACTCCCTCCTCAACAACATGGAGCTGATCCGCAAAATCTACAGCACACTGGCCGGCTCCTGGAATGACACGTTGGTCACCAAAGGTGCGTGCAGTTATTTTTTTTTCTGTCTCTAAACTATGTGAAAGCAAATTTTTATTTTGTGTGTGTGTGTGTGTGTGTGTGTGTGTGTGTGTGTGTGTGTGTGTGTGTGTGTGTGTGTTTGAGTACATCTTATTATCTGTCCCCTACAGAGGAGTTTGTTCATGCTGCCAACAAGTTTGGTCAAATCACGCCAATGGATCACGCCAATGGATATTGACATCCTTTACCAGTTATCAGGCCTGCACTCCCCCTCTGGGTAAACACACTCGTGTATTGCTGTAAAACCAACAAACGGGGTCAAGTTAACACTTCTTTTATCAGTTGTCAACAGTGGCTCATCTCTGTACTTGTGTGTCAGGCGCCTGAATCTTGCCGATATTGAGAGAATCGCTCCCCTGGAAGAAGGAAGTCTTCCATATAACCTGGCTGAAACCCAAAAACAGGTAACTTGTCCCCCACTGCCCATCTCACACATTAAATCGTGTACATAGTGTATGTGTAATCTCCCCATTGGTGTTTATTAATTCAACTATTTAAGATAAAACATTTGCGATCATCTGCTTTAACTTTGGAAAATGACCGAACAAGTACCCGAATCAGTTTTAAAATGTTTGCAAATACAACATCTACCCGTTTCCTGTGATATTGCTTCATTGTTTTTTTAATCACTTAAAATTCAGAAATAATTAACCATTGATAAATAAACAGTAATCTTGAAGAAGGAAAAAAGCCAACTAAAATTGTATCAATTATTTACTTAATGGATGAAATAATTAATTGTAAAAGTATTGACTCGTAACAGCTCTATTGCGTACACACCTCATTTGCAGTCAGTGTAATATTTTGAAACTTATTACAGTATGCTTTGAAGGGAATGTTGGAGTGCGCTGCATATTTGCATTGCCATTCCTGCCATGCAAATTGTGTGTGTTCATTCAAGGTGTGTAGCACGACACACGCCGGTACCAGTCGTAGTCGTTAATTACAGCAAAGTAGTAACTCCAAATGGCTCATGAAGCGGGGAATGTTGCGTCACTTATTTGTGATAAATGGGGATGGGGCAGTTAATTAAGAGTGGAGGGCTCTGTTTTCGGAAATACCATACCAATTCACTATTCAACACTTACATCGGGCGTCATTTTCCATTTTATGATTCCCCAGACTCAGGCTCAAGGGGACAGTTCGAGGCCTGTGTGGCTGCAAATTGCAGAATCTGCTTACAGGTTCACTTTGGGCTCTATTGCTGGAGGTGAGTTCTTCTTCTCCCTTGCGGCCATCGACATCGTGACAGAATCCGTTTTGCTCCAAACTCTTGTTTCTATGCCCAGCGACGGGCGCCACGGCTGTGTACCCAATCGATTTGGTGAAGACCCGAATGCAGAACCAGAGGTCCACAGGTTCGTTTGTCGGGGAGCTGATGTACAAGAACAGCTTTGACTGCGCTAAGAAAGTACTCCGCTACGAAGGCTTCTTTGGCTTCTACAGAGGTACGCCACAGTGATCCACTCCTGCCTGTTCCGTCACTTCGATTCGACTAACCAGTTGGCATCGCAAACGACTACAAACGCTTCTCACGCATGATGACCCGCAGGTCTGGTTCCTCAGCTCATTGGCGTGGGTCTCTAAACTATGTGAAAGCAAATTTTTATTTTGTGTGTGTGTGTGTGTGTGTGTGTGTGTGTGTGTGTGTGTGTGTGTGTGTGTGTGTGTTTGAGTACATCTTATTATCTGTCCCCTACAGAGGAGTTTGTTCATGCTGCCAACAAGTTTGGTCAAATCACGCCAATGGAGATTGACATCCTTTACCAGTTATCAGGCCTGCACTCCCCCTCTGGGTAAACACACTCGTGTATTGCTGTAAAACCAACAAACGGGGTCAAGTTAACACTTCTTTTATCAGTTGTCAACAGTGGCTCATCTCTGTACTTGTGTGTCAGGCGCCTGAATCTTGCCGATATTGAGAGAATCGCTCCCCTGGAAGAAGGAAGTCTTCCATATAACCTGGCTGAAACCCAAAAACAGGTAACTTGTCCCCCACTGCCCATCTCACACATTAAATCGTGTACATAGTGTATGTGTAATCTCCCCATTGGTGTTTATTAATTCAACTATTTAAGATAAAACATTTGCGATCATCTGCTTTAACTTTGGAAAATGACCGAACAAGTACCCGAATCAGTTTTAAAATGTTTGCAAATACAACATCTACCCGTTTCCTGTGATATTGCTTCATTGTTTTTTTAATCACTTAAAATTCAGAAATAATTAACCATTGATAAATAAACAGTAATCTTGAAGAAGGAAAAAAGCCAACTAAAATTGTATCAATTATTTACTTAATGGATGAAATAATTAATTGTAAAAGTATTGACTCGTAACAGCTCTATTGCGTACACACCTCATTTGCAGTCAGTGTAATATTTTGAAACTTATTACAGTATGCTTTGAAGGGAATGTTGGAGTGCGCTGCATATTTGCATTGCCATTCCTGCCATGCAAATTGTGTGTGTTCATTCAAGGTGTGTAGCACGACACACGCCGGTACCAGTCGTAGTCGTTAATTACAGCAAAGTAGTAACTCCAAATGGCTCATGAAGCGGGGAATGTTGCGTCACTTATTTGTGATAAATGGGGATGGGGCAGTTAATTAAGAGTGGAGGGCTCTGTTTTCGGAAATACCATACCAATTCACTATTCAACACTTACATCGGGCGTCATTTTCCATTTTATGATTCCCCAGACTCAGGCTCAAGGGGACAGTTCGAGGCCTGTGTGGCTGCAAATTGCAGAATCTGCTTACAGGTTCACTTTGGGCTCTATTGCTGGAGGTGAGTTCTTCTTCTCCCTTGCGGCCATCGACATCGTGACAGAATCCGTTTTGCTCCAAACTCTTGTTTCTATGCCCAGCGACGGGCGCCACGGCTGTGTACCCAATCGATTTGGTGAAGACCCGAATGCAGAACCAGAGGTCCACAGGTTCGTTTGTCGGGGAGCTGATGTACAAGAACAGCTTTGACTGCGCTAAGAAAGTACTCCGCTACGAAGGCTTCTTTGGCTTCTACAGAGGTACGCCACAGTGATCCACTCCTGCCTGTTCCGTCACTTCGATTCGACTAACCAGTTGGCATCGCAAACGACTACAAACGCTTCTCACGCATGATGACCCGCAGGTCTGGTTCCTCAGCTCATTGGCGTGGCGCCTGAGAAAGCCATCAAACTCACTGTGAGTCCCCTCCCCACCTCCACAACCCCCTCCGTTCGTACACTAATGTAGAGATCAACCGGGATGAACATTTTGGATCACGACAGGCTCAAAATAACTTCTTTTTTTTGCCATGAGGAGCAATTAATTTATTTTTATGTTTGTTTGTAGGTTAATCCCATGGACAAAGATTTTGCTAAACAGAAATACAACAATGTAATGTTAATGTGAGGGCTGCAATTGTTGAAATTTCCAGCGTTCACGTGTATCCTACTGAAAATTCGACAGAGTACTCGTGGATTCGGAAAAACTAGATTTTTAGTTACCATATTTTACGCACTCTAAGGCGCTTTGGAGTATAAGGCGCACCTTCAATGGCGTATTTTGAAACTCTTATCATATATAGGGCACACCGCATTATACGGTGCATAGAGTAGAAGCTACAATAGTGGCTGCGGTTGCGTTATGCATCCACTAGATAGAGCTATGCTGAAGGAATACAATACAATTAATTTATATAGAGCTATCACCACCGCTGCAGCTGCAACAAAGCGCTTTACAGAACATTTAGAATACTACGTCCAAGAAATCACAATATTGATCCATTTATAAGGTGCATTGGATTATAAGGCACACTGCTTTTGAGAAAATGGAATGCTTCAGTTCTCCACATTATAACATGGCAAACTGGACTTGTAAAAACTTAGATCAAACCTTAAACCCCGATAGACACTCTTTTCCCCCCCAAACAATGCAGAATGCAGCTACTCACCCATTAGCGTCTCAGAACCTTTCTCGGTCTCTTGTCACACCGAGCCAAAGTGGAGAAAAGTTATTCTTGCACTTCACATGCACATTTTGTATTATTATTGTTCATAATGCAATGTATTTTTTTTCTTGATTAATTAAAAGGATAATCAGTAGAATAACTGATTTTAACCCTCGTTATTTTTGAAAGCCACAGCCCTAAATAAAGTCGTGAACCGTATGTAGTTTTTGCACTTTAGAAATTTGGCAAGATTCATGCTTTAACTGTTGCCAAGCTGAAATCTAACATTAAAATGCTGAAGTGAAAGTTTAACAAGGGAAGAAGTAAAGTGCAAAAACAATTCAACTTCTTATGATGCCTTTAAAAAAAAAACAAAGAATCTTGGCTTTATATTCTTGAGAAAATATGCCTTTAGTTCTTGGGGGAAAAAAAAAATCTGACATTGTTTGAAATGAATGGTGGCTTTTTTTCCCAGACAGACAAACCTGCTAACTTTATTTGTACTTGCACTTCACAGGTGAATGACTTTGTACGAGACAAGTTCACCGACAAGGACAACTCAATCCCTTTGCTCGCAGAGATCTTGGCTGGCGGCTGTGTAAGTGGCATCACGCGCCATTAAGCACCCATGTGAAAGGGGTAGCGCAAGTGTGTTAACAAGCTCTTGTTGCCATGGTTCTTACAGGCTGGAGGCTCCCAGGTGATCTTTACTAACCCTCTGGAGATAGTGAAAATCCGTCTGCAGGTGGCAGGCGAGATCACCACCGGGCCTCGAGTTAGCGCGCTCAACGTGGTGCGAGACTTGGGCTTCTTTGGACTCTACAAGGTAAAAATATGTCCCGGTACATTCCGCAAGCCGCCGCCGCCTCTTGGTTACACTCACTCTTTGGTGGTGCTTTGCTGCGCATTGCGTTTCTAGGGAGCTAAGGCCTGTTTCCTGAGGGACATCCCCTTCTCCGCCATCTATTTCCCCGCCTACGCCCACCTCAAGTCTACAATGGCTGACGACCAAGGTCGGCTCGGCCCCTTGCAGCTTCTCACGGCTGGAGCAATTGCGGGTAAACGCAGATGCTGTTTCGTATGCCGTATGTGAGTCCGTGTTGAAAAATGATCACCGCAGAGTGTATCTCTTGCGATTGGAAATATTTAGCTATGGTTGCTGGCCCCAACTGTTTTATGAGAAGATTAGAGATGGGGCTGGGGGAAACACCGACACCCCCACACCACAGGATACTCGCTCAGTGTCACCTAATAAGAGTTATCCAAAAATCCATCTTCTGCTGGCTTGGATTTCTAAAACAGATTTCTCTTTGCTAGTGATTCAATTTGGAATACAGTAATAAATTCCAGACCCAAATGCGTTGTTGAACTGCAAGGTCCATTTTCCAAGGAGTTGCTCAGTATGGGCTTCCGCTGATTCTATTCTTGCTATGATTGCTCTTCTTCAAAAGGCAATGCAACAAAAAGAGGAGGTCGAAAACTTCCACCCGCGCGAAACGTGGCTTAGCAGAACCGACTGTGAGGAGTTGTAAATTTGAAAAAACAAATTAGCAGGAGTCCTGGAGTTGCTCTATTTCTTTCTTTACTCAACCTGCAAAGTAAAATACAAGTGCGTCGTGTGCTCCACATCAATCTTTACACTTCACTACTTCCTGGCCTTCTTAGCACAACTGCACATCATTGTCGAAAATGAAACACCACTGTCACTGAGCAGTAATTCGATGCACATTTAGTGCAATGGAGTTTCAAAAAATCAATTTTTAAAAACTCTCCTTTTTCTTATATCCTTTAACTATCCCAGCTCTCTTCGGGCAGTAGGCGAGGGACAACCCTGAACCAGTTGCCAGCCAATCGCAGTCCTTTAACTACAAACAACAAAATGAACACAGTAAAATTACTGTGGATTTACTGCATCACTGAACTAAGAGACATTTCTGTATTGCTGGCCATCGTAGTCTCACGTTCTGCTTCTCTGTCCACTCTGTCCTTCTTTCTGAAAGTGTCACAAATACCATAAAAACAAATCCACCAAAGACTCTCCTTCCGTAGCTTCCGCTAACAACCCAGGCTAAGCCTTGCTCCTCCACAACACACATATTGTAAGGTCTCAATTGAGACTCATCACAGTTCTTTCTTGACACAACCGTTACTTTCAAATAGCTGAGGAAAAGTTCCACAGAAAATGTGTGACCCGCCAGTCGGAAGGGTATTCGGAACTTGTGTCATCGGGCCAATCTCAGCAGTCGTCTCTTCCGGCTTGATTTCCCAGGCATACCTGCAGCCTCGCTCGTGACGCCAGCTGACGTCATCAAGACTCGTCTGCAAGTGGCCGCCCGGGCGGGTCAGACCACCTATTCCGGAGTCATTGATTGCTTCCGGAAGATCATGCGGGAGGAAGGATTCCGAGCTCTTTGGAAGGGAGCCGGAGGTCAGTGAGTGAAAGAGAGAGAGAGTGTGTGAGAGGGAATGAGTGTGTGAAAGTGTGTCCAAGTGTGATGATGGAATGACAGTGACGGGGTGTGTAGGGCGGTATTATTCGCTTCCTTAAGGTCTTGATTGGAGCGACTTTTTTTTTCCCCTTTTTACTTCTTCTTCTGACCGCTGGTGAGAAATTAATTCAAAACTTTGTTGAATTCAGGGTACTATTTATTTATTTACTTTTAATTAAAAAAACAAATATAAGTGACGGTGTGGAAAATTTATTGAGATATTGTTCAAGTTTTCACTTAGCAACTTTTGAAGACATGCTCATGACCCTCGGAGCTCCCTTACCTTTTTTGTCACAATTTTGAAATAATTTCGGTCTATTGTCTGACATTTAAAAAAAAATAAATAAATAAAAATCCTCGTCTCACCCCTCGGGTGGTGTCCATCCCTCATTCAGCTCGGGTCCTCTACCAGAGGCCAGGAAGCTTGAGGGCTCTGCGCAGTATCCTTGCTGTTCCCAGCACTGCACATTTTTGGACTGAGATGTCCGATGTTTTTCCCGGAATCTGTTGCAACCACTCATCTAGTTTGGGGGTCACTGCCCCGAGTGCTCCGACCACAACAGACACGACTGTCACCTTTACCTTCCAGGCTCTCTCCAGCTCAGATCAACCACTTCAGTTATGGTCCGGTAGTACATCCCGTGTAGGGGCCTGTCCTCCTATGATGGTCCCTCTTCCAGCTCCTCATCCTCTGTTCCCCATTGTCTGAGACATTCTCTGAGTACGTCATCTGTTGGAGCCTTCTCTTTGATGTATTCACAGAGCTTGGATGTTTCATCCTGGACAGTGGCTCTCACACTCACTAGTCCCCGGCCTCCTTCCTTACGGCATGCGTACAGTCTCTGGGTGCTGGATTTGGGATGGAAGCCTCCATGCATGGTTAGGAGCTTTCGGGTCTTAACGTCCGTGGTCTGAATCTCTTCCTTTGGCCACCTTATTATTCCTGCAGGGTATCTGATCACTGGCACGGCCTAGCTGTTTATTGCCCGGGTCTTATTCTTGCCATTGAGCTGGCTTCTTATGC